CCCCCGGCCCGCGCGGCCTCCCGCCGCAGCGCCCCCTCCGCCCGGGCCGGGGATGGCGCTCCTGAGGTCGGGTCTGCCCGGCTGGGGCCGGGGCGAGCCCTTCCGCCCCGGGAGCGCCCAGCAGATGCGCGCAGCAGAACTCTTTCTATTTTTTTGCAATCATACCGTTGGTTAGGAGGCTACTGAGCGCAGGGGAAGCGTGCCAAGCGCCGAGATTGAGGTGTGACCCAGTATGTGATTCCAGGGCCCGGCTTTGCCCGGCTCTGGGGACTGATTGGAGGGCACCAGAGTGGGGGATGGGATTCACCTTAAAACTGAGAATGTGTATGGCCCACCCTCTGGCCTGCTGTACCCAGCTGTGTCCTGTGCTAGCTCCCACGCAGGGCTCCCTACATATCACCTAAAGCAGGGGTCATGCTTGAGAGCCCCGGTGTTTTTCCAGGAATTCTGCGTGTATTAGTCTTCTAGGGTGGACCAAATTACCACAGATTTAAGGCTTAACACAATGCATTTATTATCTCGTAGGTTCTAGGTCAGGAGTTCAGAAGCAGGTTAGCTAAAACTTTTGCTTGGACTTTCACAAAGCTTCATCAGGGTGTTATCTAGCCTGCACACTCCTCTGGAGACGCCAGTGGTCAAGAGTCTACTTCAAGGCCATTCAGGTTGCTGACCAAGGGCCGGCATTTTTCCTGGCAGCCAGAATGAGGCTTCCCTCAAATTTCAACTGTAGTTCTAGAGATTACTGAAATTCTTTGTCATCTGGGCTTCTCCAAAATGGTTGCTTACTTCATGATGCTGAGGAGGGTTTCCAGCTGCAGTCTGCTAAGACTTAAGTTTTGTTTTGTAGTGTTGGGGATCAGACCCAGGACCTTGCATACTAGGCAAGTGCTCCACCACTGAGCTACACCCCCAAAACTAAAGCAGCATTTTGTTTTGTTTTGAGACAGAATTCACTATGAAGTTCAGGTTGTCCTTGAACATGGTTATGTAGTCCAGGCTGGTCTTGAGTTCATGGTGATCCTCTTGGCTCAGCCTCCTGAGTTCTGGGATTGCAGAACTTTGTCACAATGTCTATTAAGGTTTGTATAATGTATTATACATATGACAGGAATATCATGTTGTCAGCTTTGCCCTATACTATGCTCACAAGCAAGCCATAGGTGCTTCTTTCATTCAAGAGGAGTAGATCACACACAAGTGTGAACATCAGGGGACAGAAATTATTGGGTAGGATTTGTCCATCACACTGGGGTTACAATAAAACCTAAGCAAGGGGGTAGGAAGAGAGCTAGAGAATAGCATAGCACACACTCAGAAAGGAAGTTGACATCCATAATGCCGAGTGCTAGGAAGTCCACAACAGTAACCTCAGGGGTCACTCATTGCTACACGCCCAAGGCTCCCCAGTCATAACCAAACGCACTGGATTTGGTGAGCCCCAAATGGAGTGAATCTGTGGTACACTTCTTCCGCTTTTGCTTCTCAGCTGTGAAACAAAGACACAAATTGGACATCCTGGTTCCAGCATAGATTCCTGTCATCCCACATCAACTGGGTCCTCTTGTAAGCCTAAATCTTTTATTTCTTGAAACTTTACTGAAACTAAAAGCTATCTTACTTGATTTTCAGTTTTCCTCAAATCTTATAATGTCTCTTTATGTGTTCTGTACTTTCATCTAAAAAATGCATATGGCTGGGTGTGGTGGCACACCTGTAATCCCAGCACTTAGGAGGTTGAGGTAAGAGGATCGCTGTAAATTTGAGGCCAGCCTAGACTACAAAGTAAGTTCAGGTCCAGCCTGAAATGCATAATGAAACCCTGATTCCAAAAAAAAAAAAAAAGACAAAAAACTTAAAAAGTAAAAAGTAAAAGCAAGTGGGGCACAGGGGTGAAGTGTTTGCTTAGCATGCATAAAGCCCTGAGTGAATTGCCCAGCACTGGGAAAAATGATATGGGGCTCCTTCTGCCCATGTCTAACCTTCCTCTCTCTTAACTCATCCAATTTTTCTCATGTTCAGTTTTCTATTTATCTGTGAA